TCATAGATTAGCCACTATCACTAATATTATGAAATAACTCTCCCCCAGTACACTGTATAAAGCCAAGTAATTAAATACATGCTGTATTAAAACGCTCAAATTTCTATGACTCTACCTCCAAGTGGTCCTTTCTTCTCTAATGGTTACAATTAAAAAAGAAAAATGGGAGGCCCATTCCTATCTCCTCCCCTCTGTTACAGACCTCTTGGAATAGAAATACAGATGACTCCTGCCCTTGTTTTAAAGCCTTAAGTGTCTCAGAAACAAAACAGAAACTCCCCAGCCACTCCAGCCTCCAGACTCCTCCACCTTTAACCCAGGGACTTTCTATGGTCTATGAGGAGGAAAGTGCTGACACTTTGGGTCTCACGAAACCAGCCTGGGCCACACACTGAGCATAAGACACCTTTTGTTAGCATTATTTCATTAGCCAGTCTTTCATTTATTTATTTTCACTGTTTTTTTTTTTTTGGTGTGTGTTTGTGTGTGTGTGTATGTGTAAGTCAGAGAAAAATCTGATAAATTAGTTATCTTTCTACCTCTATGTAGGCCCTAGGGATTGAACTCAGGGCTCCAGGCCTATGTGGCAAACATCTTTCCTCACTGAGCCATCTCCCCAGCCTATCTGCCTTGTTTTGTGAGACAGGGTCTCTCACTGGCATGTGCTCTCTCACTAGCCAATTGGCTGACCAGTGAACCTCGGGCATCCTCCTGTCTCCACCTCCCCAGTGCTGGGATTATAAGTGTGTACCATCATGTCAGTCTTTTTCACTTAGGTTCTGGGGGTTAAACTCAAGTCCTCATGCTTGTAGGGCAAAAACCATATGGATTAAGCCATCTCTCCAAACCCTGACCTTTCATTTAAATCTACAAAGCACCAAGCAAGGACAGAATGGACCATGAGTGAGGCAGAAGCAAAGAGGAAGCCCACAGATTGAGTTCTCATTGTCACTGCTATAATGCCTGTGTGCTCCAGTGCTCAGCAGTCAAGGGAAGATCACACGGGGACTCTGACTGACCTTAAATATTCTTTTTCTCCCTCCTACCACTTCTATTTAAACTCTCTCTCTCTCTCTCTCTCTCTGTCTCTCTGTGTGTGTGTGTGTGTGTGTGTGTGTGTGTGTGTGTGCACATTCATGAGTGCAGTGGCTGTGGAATCCAGAACAGGGCTTTGTATCATCCCCCTCCTGCCCCGCCCCCTGGAGCTGGAGTTACAGGCAGTTATGAGCCACCCTACCTGGGTGCTGGGAACTGAACTCAGGTCCTCTGCAAGAGCAGCAAGCACTCTTAACCAACCTCTCTGGCAAGGGCCAGGGCTGACCTCAAGTTCCCTATGTAGCTGAGGATGACCTTGAACTCTTGATCCTCTCATCTCCACCCACAACTTCTAGGGATATAGGCGTGCACTACCATGCCTGGTTCTATCCAATGCTGAGGATGGAAGCCAGGGCTTCTTGCAGGTTACGAGACTTCTCTATATCCCCTGCTTGTCTAATTCCAAGAGCTCTTCGTTGGGTCAGTTGTGAATGCCTCTAGAAAGAAAACAGTTATAACTGATTTCTAGTCTTTTCTGGTCTAGCTATCTTAGCTGTACTCTTGCACAGTAAGCAGTGTGCATGCATTTAGGTTTGAATGAACCTTGCCTTTACAGATGTGTTGAGCTGCATTACAACCCGGGTGTTAAGACAGTGCTGTGTCATAAAGCCAACAACCTGAATACTTGATCCACATGACTACAATTACTACCCTTCCTTGTTTTCGATTTAAAGATACAAATTAACCAGTAAGCAAAGAGACTAGAGGAGTTTCAGATCACAATGATGCAGTATTCACCCCATAATCAAAATATCACAGTTCAATAGTCAGATCTCTCTCTACATAGAGAAGGTCTTGTCTCTTACATGGCTCAACATCTCAGATCAGTACCAATATATATCTTGTAATCCTTAAAAAAATTAGATGATGCAGAAGTGCTTTTCAAATAAACAACAGTAGTTCTAAAGAGAAAAACAGCATTTTTCCCATCTTAAGGCTTTTTGTTTTATTTTGTTTCGAGAGACAGTTTCAGATTGCCCAATGCTAGCCTTGACGTCTCCATTCTCTTGCCTCCATTTCCCAAACACTGTGTTAACAGGTGTGTGCCAACATGTCAAGCTAAGACCTTTTAAAAATTAACTGGCATTTTTAAAAATCATTTCTCAACTGAAATAAGGTCTGGATAGCAATCTGGCTATATGAGAAGGGGTTCTGTATTTATTCTAAAAGGGAAGAAAAATCCACTCTTTAAAGAGGCATGAGTCAAAATAAAAAGGATGGTTAATTTACAGGGAAGAATCGAAATTTAACTCCAAGAATTCCGGGTTTCTAGCATTTTGAACTATGACTAAAATCTACGATTTCATACTCTCCTAAGACAGTAAGGATTCTACTAACAGCCCACCCACTCTTTTGGATATCTGTGTGGTTTCAGAAAGTTCAAAAATGGGGCAATGCTAATGATTTTCATTGTCATCTGGCTTTTGTGAGACAGGATCTCACATAGCCCAGGCTATCTTTGAACTCACTATGTAGCAAGGATAATCTCAACTCCTGACCCTCCAGCCTTCATTTCTCTAGTTCCAGGCTAGCAGGCTGATCCACCCCAAAAGGCTTGCTGGTGATCTTTTGATTCAGAAGATGATACTGCATCGATACCCAAAGGGGGAAAAAAAGGCACACAAGCAAGCACCCCGAATGATAAAGGAGTGATGGGGAGACTCTTGCACAGATGACAGGGAAGGCTGCCAGGCGCTTACTCATCAGTGGCAAGAGCATGGAAATGGAAAAGGAGTGACAACAGATGTGGAGCACAGTAGCATGACTCACACTATGCCGGTAGAATGGGTCAACTTTGGTGGGGTATTTGTCAAACTGCAAAGGGATCAAAGCAAAAGCTAGTTACTTTAGCTGCATGTTTAGCTGCACCTCCAATGGAGGTGACCCACTAAACACACTTCTGAGCCAACCTCAAGGCGCACAAAAAAGCAAGTCTCCCAACAAGAAGTATCCAGAATGTAAATGCACAGTGATAAGCCCACCCAGTGTGCCCCACTCCTCAGGACCCCTGGATGCTACGTCTGGGGACTGGCACAAGGCAAACATCCAAAGTGGAGAAAACAGGCCGTTATCCAGATAAACCAGGAAAGTGCACACTGCGTCTGTACTGGACAGTTGTATGTCAACTTGACACAAGATAGTGTCATCTAAGAGGAGGGAACCTCAAAGGAGAAAGTGCCTCCAGATGATGGGCTGTAGAAAGGCTTAGGCATTTTTAAATTAGTGATCAATGGAGGAGGAACCAGCCCACGGTGGGTGGGACCATCCTGGGTTCTCTAAGAAAGCAGACTCAGAAAACCACGAGGAGCAAGCCAATAAGTAGCATTCCTCTGTGGCTTCTGCACCAGTTCCTGCCTCCAGGTTCTTACCCAGTTTGAGTTCCGGCCTTGGTTTCCCTCAGTGGACTGTGACTCTGGATATGTAAGTCAAATCAACCTTACCCTCCCCCAAACTGTTTTGGTCATGGTGTTTCATCACAGCAATAAAAACCCTAAGACACCATCTAATTCACGCCAAGAATTAACTCCCTGTAATTGTATCTTTTCTGTGGCAGGAAAACTACAGACTCTGCTGTCTCAGCAAAACATGTTACAGTACAAAATGAGTGACTTGGGGGAGGTCTTGGAGCCTTGCCTCTGAACAGAAAAGGTGTATTCTTTAAAACAAACAAACAAACAAAAATTGTTTGTATGCCTGTGTGCCTGTGTGATGTGCACAAGTATTCAGGTACCAAAGGATGCCAGAAGAGGGTGTTGAATCCCCTGCAGCTGAAGTTACAGGTGGTTGTGAGTTTTACAACATTGAGGCTGGGAACTGAACTTTGGTCCTCTGGAAGAACAGCAAGTGCTCTTAACCACTGAGCCATCTCTCCAGCCCTAAGTATCTCTTTAAATATTAAAGATTAGCAATACAACATTGTGATAGTCATTTACCATGGGCAGGTCTCTGTCTCACAAAATATATAGGATTCTACTATAGCACCATTCATTGGTATTCCTGGTTTCTAAAATAAATATCCCAGTTCTCCACACATGTGCCAGTCCCCAGACAAGACAGAGTAAACGCTATATCACTGCTGAGTTATATCTCTGTGGGATGCATCTGCCCCCACTGCCTGCTTGCTATCAGATATAATGTAAGTTTAGGGTACTGTGTCATATCACAGAATCACAAGAAGTATGGCAGTTCTAGGACAACAGGATTAGGGGAAATATACAATCAAAGAAGAGGCAGTATCCATAGTGAGCATCCTCTCAACAGGCCCCTTGCTTCTCTTCTCTTCACTCCCAATCTTTCCTAAGTATTTCTATATTGGTATTAAACATTTTTAGATCTGGGGCCAATCACCCAGCATGCACAAGCAAACACAATAACCCTTTAAGAAGTTAACAGGCCTTCATGTAAGTGTTTTGAAGGTACCCGGAATTAAATCTACCCATGGTGCCAATGATAGCCATGGAGAAAAATGTCTCGACTCTGATGTTCTAGAACCAGAGTTCATTAGCAAAGATGGACAAAACCCAAGGGATACGCCCTTCCCCATAGAGTTCCCTCTTCCCATCCCCTCTCCAGTGTCTCCCAATGCCCATGCCAACCCCCGAGCCAAGCTGCATGCTCTACTTATCCTCACATTTCTGCCTGGGGTACGCACCATGGGAGGTGCTGGCGTCGGCATGATGGCAGTGGGTGGGATGGCGTGGGGGAACGGTGTGAAGGTATGCTGGTGAGTGTGCTGATGCGTGTGCTGGTGCTGATGCTGGTGTTGATGGAACTCGGTCCGCAGGTAGGGTGGAGGACCCAGGGATGCCCCCCGGTCGGCGCTCTGAGAGGCCAGGAAGCGTGTGTTTAGTTCCTGCCTCAAGATATCTTGCTCTGGAAAAGAAGGAAAGGGAGATTATGGTGGTGGCACCTTTTCTTTCAGAACAGGACATCCTGGTTGCAGACATGTCCAGTGTGCATACAACATGTAAGTGCATGACAGGATAGCTATGAATTCGGCCTGACACAGAATCATGAACTTATTTAACATATTATGAGGTTCTTATTTTGTTTGAAACCGAGGTAGTCTCATGTAACCCAGAATGACTCTGAACTCCCCATACCGTAGAGAATGACCTTGAACTCCTGATCCTCCTGCCTCTGCCTCCTGAACTCTGGGATGGCAGGCATGCAACACTATACATGGTTTTAAGTAGCGGTATGGATGGAACCCAGGGCTTTATGCATGTTGGGCAAGCACTCTGCCAAGTGAGCTACATTAGCAGCATCACAATGAGGCTGCATGTGTGCGTGTGCGTGCATACATGTGTGGGTGTGTAAAACAGTGACTGTGTGGTTCTCCAGTGTAAACTTTATAGATGACAATGCCATGTCATAATGTCAAAAAGCTGGGCATAGTGTCTACAAGGACCGAGTGCCATGCAATGGATGGAGGATGCAGGGATAAGGACAATTTACTTGGGACACACAGGGGTGGAGTCAAAAGCAAGTTCAGTCACTTCCAGCCTAGCCTGCTTGGTGAGTACAAACTAGTGAAAGATTATCCCAAAACAACAACAAAAACAAGGTGGGTGCCTGTGCCCTGAGAAATACCACCCACAGTTGACATTTTTGCTTCTAGTCTCAGATAAACACATGTGCATGTACACACACACACACACACACACACACACACACACACACACACACACACAGACACAAGCATATTTAAGTACTGTGGTACAGTGAGACACACCAGTCATTCATTATATGTCTGTTAATAGCACCAGGTTCCCATGCCTTCTTCAAGGATTGGAATAGCTCTACAAAGTGGCGTAACATGGTCAGACTAGATCAACATCAGAGCTCAGGTTTGGTGAATACAATCAGGAGAAAAGAACACTAAAATCTATTACTAGGTCAGTTCGTGTGGTGTGTGTGTGTGTGTGCTCACACTCGAATGTGTGTTAGACATGTGTGTGGAAGTCAAATATCAACCTCAGGTGTCATTCCTCAGATGGGGTCTATATTTTTCTTTAAACAGACATTTACTTCTAATAGTTCATTAGATTTATTTATTTACTTATTTGTGTGTGGGTGTGTACATCACCACAGGAAAATTTTGGGGAGTTGTTCTTCTTTCACCACGGGGCTTAGGGATGGAAGTCAGGTGGTCAGCTGTTGTGACAAATGCCTTTACTTACTAGCCATCTCAGTGATGTCACCTTG